ATAGAAAACATCTGATTTACCAATTCTTATACATACATTTACCGATTCTTATATGTACATGTGTTTATTTAAAAGTGGCTCATTCTTGAAGAAAGTTTATCCTCCATCTATTAGCAACAATGACTTAATAGTTTTTCAGTGTTAATACAATACATTCACATGTGAAATCCTAAAAAGGTCTTTTCATTATTTGTGTCCTTCAGGAAAATACCTTTTTCCATCACAATTTCTATTTATTCAGCTTTACCATCTAATTGGTTTATAATTTATAATCTATATATTTTTACTTCTTTATTGAATTTTACAAATTATACACATTAATTATTAGTATGTATAGTCAAACTACATGATGCATCTATTTATATTTCATTTGAATATTTTCAAGAAAACTATTTATCTTGTTTTAGTGAACAGAACTGTGAATTTTCAACAGTAAAACAAATGTCCATTAGAAAATGCTACCAGCTCACCTCTCTAATGCCATTAGTGTCATAATCAATATATTGAGATTTTCTTGTCTCTACTTGTTCCTGACAGAAAGGAAAATTGAGAGATATTTTTCAACCATCCACATGAGACAGTGGTGTGCTACCTGGGCTAGCATAGGAGATGAAGAGAGTTGAATGAGGCTAAAGTGGTTATAAGAATTATTAATTTCTTTTGTGTATTGTTTAAAGGCCTACAGACAGGAAGAACAACTTGTTGGTCTCTACTTCCATACAAGTGTCTCTACGAAAGTGAGAAAAGTAGAAAAATGGTAAGCTGGTTACTGGAAGCATTTGTCAAAAATGAAAGATAGGCTTTTGAATACTAGAGATATCCCATCAGAAACTGCAAGATGGTACAACCACTTTGGAAATCAGTGTGGCGGTTCCTCAGAAAATTGAACATAGCATTACCTGAGGATCCAGCTATACCACTCCTACGCATATACCCAGAAGGTGCTCAAACATATAACAAGGACATATGCTCAACTATGTTCATAGCAGCCTTATTTATAATAGCTAGGAGCTGGAAAGACCCCAGATGTCCTTCAACTGAGGAATGGATTCAAAAAATGTGGTATGTTTACACAATGAAGTATTACTCAGCTATTAAAAACAATGAATTCGAGAGGTTCCTAGGTAAATGGATGGAACTAGAAATTATCATCCTGAGTGAAGTAAGCCAATCACAAAAGAAAACACATGGTATTCACTCACTGATTATTGGATATTAGCCCAGAACCTTGAAATGCCCAAGATGCAACTCACAGGCCACATGAAGCTCATAAAGAAGGAAGATCAAGTGGGGCTGATTCGGTCCTTCTTAGAAGGAGCAACAAAATACTCAAGGGAGCAAATATGGAGACAAAGCGAGGGACAAAAACTGAAGGAGGGGCCGTCTGAAGACCTTTCCACCTGAGTATCCATCCCATGTGCAGTCACCAAAGGTAGATGCTGATGTGGAAGTCAGGAAGTGCATGCTGATAAGAGCCTGATATGGATGTCTTCTCAGAGGTCTTCAAGAGTCTGACATATTCAGAGGCAGATGCTCACAACTAGTCATTGAACTGATAATGGGGTTCTCAATGGAGGAGTTAGAGTGAAGACTGAAGGAACTGAAAGGGTTTGTGGCCCCATGAGGAGAGCAACAATACCAACCAACCAGAGTTCCCAGGGTCTAAACCACCAGCCTGGGAGCACTTATGGAGTGATCCAGGGCTTCAGTTGAATATGTAAGAGTGGAGGGCCCTGCTGGGCATAGGTGGAAGAAGAGATCCTTGACCTCATGAAGGCTGGACGCTCCAGGGGGTGGGAATTTTGGAGGTGGGGAGGTGGGAGTGGGGGTGTATGTAGGGGTTACATCCACAGAGAAGAAGGAGGAGGGGTGAGGGGATAGCGGGTTCCTGGGTGGGTGGGGGATGGGGTAAGGGGACAACATATCAAATGTAAATAAAACATCCAATAAAAAATTTTAAAAAAGAAATTAGTTGAATATTGAGATCACGTTTAAAGACAAGTAATCAGTAATAGATGTTTTATAATATGTCAACATACAGATTACTTTAAAGACAATGAGATTAAGATTTCATATAAAAAGAGATAAAAATTAGAGATCAATATATACTCTGTGTATACATATAATATATAATCTACTATATACAAGAAATTTACATAACCAGTAGTCTTGAGTTAGCTTTTGTCATACATGACATTTTTCAAGACGTTTCAAAGATAAAAATAGAGCAGTGTCTATGCTATCCTTAGACACAGAGGGTTCGTAAAGGACATGATATCCACCCACTTTACAGAGTAGGCTGGCTTAGAAACTATTGAGGTACAGCTCTTTTGTATACAACAGATTTTTTTCCAGCTTTTTAAATTCTGTGCAAGACTGACAGTTTCTCCATGAGTTCAGTATTAGCTTCTCTTTCAGTATACACCTATAACCAAAATTTGGATCTGGAAAAGACTGAGAGGATGGTATTCTGCAGTTCAGCATCTTGGCTCCTAGCTGGTTCTTGCAGGTTACATCTTATTTAAATTTTCTTTGTGTCAAGCCTACTTTCATCCATTTCTTTCTCATTCTATAATGTTCAACCTCTAGATGAACACAGAAGCATTAGCGTCTTCTGGGTATTTGACTAAGACCCAACTGGTCCTGCTTCTTTGTTCAATTCCAGAATCAGATAGATATGAGCAACTTGACTTTCATTTTAATTTATCTTTGCATATGTGTGTAGGTTAGTGATAATTTACTAAGAAAAGGCCAGTATTGTTTTGACAAGCTACACAGAATACCACAGTACACTGTCACAATTATTTAATAGTTGTTTAGTCATTATAAGTGCCACCCTTCCATCTATGGTCTGTAATACTAGACCTAAAATTATGCAAACTCTTGGATTTTCTTGGTCAATCAGAACGTGGGTAGGCCTTACTAGAAAGGTCAGAGTAGAAGTTAGAAAGCTTAAGGATACTAACGGCACTTATTTTTCAGTTTATTTTTAACGTTTTTCTGTATTCTGTTTTTATGTGGATTATTAATGTTGTTTTACTCCAAAAGTCCTGGCTAGTTTCACTTCTTGTATTCTTTCTACACATCTAGAATCACCCTCATCACACTTTAGAATGACTCTGGGCAACTGATCAAGCCAAAGATGAAAGAGTCTACCTCACAGGAATCCACTTCACAACCACACATTTTCTCATGGATCTGCCAGCCTTATCCTGTCCAGACACTTTCATTTTGATAGCCCGGAGTGCTTATTTTTATATACTCCAGACTTAGAGTTGTAGATACCTTCTGTATGTACTTTTGTACTTTGTCAACATCCCTTTTGTTTATGTTATTTTCCTCATCACAACGCCAGGTTAAATAGTCTCTAAATTAAGTTCTGTCTGTTTAGCTACATGATTTGCTATGTGTTTGGTCCCTGACTGATAAACAGATAGAACTATATAGATACGTTGGAAGACATTACAATAGTTGGAAGGAAGTTATCCAGAAAACTTTTTGGCATTAAAGAATCTTAACTAGAGAATTTTTATACAAAGTTTGATGAGGTTACTAGTATAAAAACATGGTACAAGTGGGTATTTCTTTTTATGCTTGTTCATGTTCCCATTGTTGTTGATTAATCCTTATTATCATGAGAGCAAATCATGTATTTGTCAACAAAAAGGACACGAGAAGTAGAAAATATAATGTTTTAGAATGCTAGATTGGCATACGCAAAAGCTTACACAACACTGAGACACACATTAAATATTGTTCAGGGCTCTCCGGGGTTCAATCATGTGATAGAAAATATTGAAGAATGCTTGTAGGTTACAAAAATGTATTGTGTTTTTGTTTGAGATTGTGAATTAACAAAATGGTGAGCTATTCACATTCCTGAACAATAATTCAAGAGGCAATTTCCGAGTATCAGAAGCAGGCATGAATATGTCTTTAAACCTAGCACTTATGAAGCAGTGGCAGGTACATCTCTTTGAGGTCAAGGCTAGCCTGGTATTCAAAATGAGTCCAAGGATAGTCAGAGCTACATAGTGAGACCCTGTCTGAAGCAAAAGAAAACAAAATAAACTAACCAACTAACAAACATGAATGAATATCTCGATCTCGGCTAACCAATGATAAGGCTCTGCTTTATCACTGGTATGAAATTAATGAGGTATGATGTAAAGAGTAAGAAGGAGAGAGAAGATCTGGAGATAGATTGGACAAGTGAGGTGATTACTTTGACATACAGTGTGCAAGAGAATGAGGAATGCAGTTACACATTTTGGGATCTACCATATAAATGTGAGCGTGAAGATGGAGTGGTTAACCGGGAAAGGGGAAAGTTGTGAGCCACGATTTTTCAGTTCAGTTTACAATTCCATATATTTAGATATCTGTGCTGTACATTTCTTTATAACTAGAATACATGCCTATCTTGTTTATTCTGTACTGTCATATTAACTAGTGAATAAAAAGCCAGATTATATATTCTGGACACATAATAGTTCCCAAGAAGAATCAAGGGGCAAATGGATGTATTTGATGAATTGGTTTTAAAAAATCTTCAAGTAAAGCAACTATTAGTTTAATAAGTTAGGGTCAGTTACAAGATCCACTATTAAGTCTCAATATTAAACGCACTGTATAATGTTTTCTACATCACTACCCTTCTCTAACGAAGGCTTAGCATGAATATTCTCTTTGTCAAACACTATGCTAAGCAATGAGAAAAGCACAACAGAGAACAGGAAGATCTCTCCTGGAGCTTCTATTCGTGTGGGAAGATATGAATATATAAATGGCAAAAACAAGCTATGTACGAGTCCATAAGAACAAATGGTAAGCTTTACATAGCTCATGAGATGCTTTTGATAGGTGTAGATTTAACATAGACTGAAAAGTCAGCGGCACCAGGGAGAAAGGATAGAGAGCTTGAATTGTTAATGGACACTTTAGAAAAGAGATCACAGATTTGGTATGGCTTACGAAAGAACACTAAGAAGGACTGACTCTCACAACTTCAAGGCATGGTTTTATAGAATTCACATCCCCCAGAAACATGAGCTAACAGCTACTATGCAGAAAAGAAAGAGTCTTAAACATTTTATAAAACAAGTAATAAACAATGATTTTAATTTTTGCCCAATGAAGTAAATAGAATGATATAACATTATCAACATGACAAAAATAGTGATATGTGGGCTTCATCACTTCTTGTTCTTGAAGAATTCAATTTTTCATAGAGTTTTGTACAATATTTAGTATCAAAAATTGCCTTTAATGCTTTAACCTTTGGTGATTTGAGTGTTTATTTCAATAATACTAACAGGCCAAAACTTAAATGTGTATGTGTGAGGACATTTTTATTATAAAACATTTAAGAGAAAAATTGTAAGTATAGCAGAAATTTGTCAAGTATAGCCTAAAAAACCAATTAAAAGTAGTGGTAGGCAGTGACTAGGCATGGAAATCATGTATATCAAAGACAAACAGTGAAAATAAGTCCACTTATTATGGAAATAAGTCCATCATCTTATCCCTATATGATGATTAGTGTTAGCCAGACATGAAACTGTATGTAACAGACACTTGATTTCTCAGCTCCATTGTAGATAAGATTTACATTGTAAGTAAGTTCTGATTATTAATTTATAAATGAAAGTGGTTCACCAAGAAGTGTTCTTTAGTGTTTTTCTCTTTCATTCATTTTACAGAGATGTACAAATATAATTTTAATAAAATAAAGTAAAAGGTGTGGAAATTTGGAAGGAAGGAACTAATCTATACTTTTCATGCAAAATTTTACATGTCAAGTTTCCCCCAAAAACTAACCTATGGAAATTATCTAGCTTTATGATATTCTATAAGACATCTAACTGAAAGGTTGTACAGATTTATAAATCCTGGGATCTTTGAATTTTCTTTTCTTCTCATCCACAGGAATACTTGACTGGGAACTGTGAAGAAAATGAACAAAACTTACTTAAAATAATTTCAAAATAAAAGAGCCTATGGATATTCTTTTTTTAATTTCAAAATGTTTTTAAAAATAAAAATATAACACTCTTGGTTAAAAAAAAAGGGAAATAACAATGAATTAGCAGAGCACAGTTCTAAACATAATTAAATCCTGTGGAAATCTCATGACAACTACAAGAAAACCTTTTAGAATATAATGCAAATAACCAGAAAGAAATACACAATCAAAATAAATGAGGAAATTATGGACAATACATGACACTCAAATCTCAGTCATTCACAACATGGAATGACATTCACCACTGAGAAGCAAATCAAGACAACCAATGGTAATGGCTTATATAGTAAACCATTGTCCAAATGGTAGGAGATAGAGGAGACACCTGCTATGCACACATCAACTTGTGGAGGCTGGTGTTAGCATAAACATTTAACACCTGGGAACTGGTGTCAGAGGAGCCAGGTCATTAATTAATAGTGTTACAATCAATTTCACAATGTTTCAATACTATTGAATGTATGTAAGTCTTAAGAGCAATGATTTGTTGTATATTGGTTACTATCCTGTTTTAGTAATATGTATATAAGTTTCTCATGTAATTTTGAGGCTATTATACATAGAAATATTTGTATTTATATACCCAGATTTGATTTTAGACATATATTCTGAGAAAAGTAACTTCATTTTAACAAAACTAAAGGCATAAAATATCACTATTAAAAGTTGTATAGAAATTAAATAATCAACAACTCTGAAGGTAAAGTAGAGGCAATAATGGTCTGTGCATGTTTCACAGATGTCATGAGAATCAAAACTATAGGACACACTGCGTTGCCATTATCAAAGGCTTTAACCAAACAATAACTAGCATTGTTGAATACAAGTGGATATCTTTGCAAAACCATTTTTTTTCATAAATTTTTTCAGTGATTATTCATTGTTTTTAAAAATATGACATTTATATTTGCTTTGTAGTGAGCATAATTTAATCTTATAAAATGAGAAACTCATAGTTTCTCAGGATTTATTTGTTCATCGGCCCAGTTATGATTATATTTTTGATCCTGATATTTGTGGAAAGTAAATAGATAAAAAGTTTGGTTGAAAACTTCTCTATGGAACAATGGGTCTCTTACAAGAACTCCTTTGTTATAATTCTTTCACTTTCTTTCAAAAAGTGAATAAGCCTTCACAGAACTGAATTTAAGATATAAGTAGAATGGTCTCTGCAGTTAGAAATAAATCTGGATTCTCGGAAGAAGGTGGTTAGCAGACCCAGGCTCCTCAGCACAGTTTGGGCAATGCTCAGATCATGCTTACCACAAGCATGAAGTACATGGGTCAGCAAAATGCCTTCTTCATAAGAGATAACTCCTGTGCATGGTATTTCCAATTAGAGAATGTTGTACTTGCATCAAAATCAAATATTTTCCTTCACTGATTACAATCCAGAAAGAAGACTAATTCTCAGTGGGTTTTCACTTGTCTACCAGATGTCTAATAATTTTTATGCAATTATTATACTACAGTGAAAGCAAATAAAACCAAGATTTTCCCCAGCTTCATTAAGGAATATCCCCAGAAATAGGAATCTGCTGTCATCATCATTCTCTAGTCTATTCAGATAGAATAAACGGGTTCCCAAATCCACTACCCACATACATTTACCTGCATGAGAGTTGCCTGTGTTAATTCCCAGGGAAAAGGTAAAAATAGCGTGTCATAGATACTCTCTCAATGGTGGGCATCTGGGTCAGTTCACCTGGGACCTCAAATGAGTGTTGAACCTGCAATGATAAAGAAAGTCTTAAGAGATCTCCTAAGAAGGGAACTTCTTCTGCTGCTCTACATGAAACCACCAACAACAAATGCAACAACAACAGCAACAACAACTAAAGTCGTGGTGTCTACTAGGGCTGTGGCTGGGTAGTATAACACTGTTTATTTAGCTTTTCCTTGGATATAAGGATGTAATGCAGGTAGAATGACTTACAAACTTATGAAAAGTGACTGAGCAAGAGTCTGAAAATCAGAGGGTTTTGGAAAAACACATATTGCTTATATGTGGTATTCTAAACATGTGTTTTTAAAATAAATAGGCTGTTAAGTATAATCAGAATAAAATGATTTATGGCCCTTAGTATATGACAGTTTTAGAGGACATAAAAGAGCAAAACCAAACCCTTACCTTTCGAAAAATTTCCTCCAAATGATAACGCCAACAATACTTTTTGAAGCAGTCGATGAGTTTGGAAATGAAGAGAGAGCCATGCTTGCCTACCTTCCAAGAAATATTATCTGCAAATAAAGGCATGGGAATGATGGAAAATGAAGAGTTCTGGCATGACAGTTTAGAAACCAAGTATGATTGGATGCTTCAAAGAAGACAGGAGGCCTGGCATGACAGTTTAGGAACCAAGTATGATTGGATGCTTCAAAGAAGACAGGAGGCCAAAGGAGAGTACAGCAGAATGATCCATAAAAGACATTGAGAACCTGTGCAGATCCTCTGTCATAAAACCAAAAGGGTTTTAAAATAGGTGAGTCCAATACAGTCTACAGCAAGCAAGTCCTGTGAAAGATCACAGAGCCCTTCCAGGACCAAATTCATGATAAAGAAAAACTCTCATCTGTCACCAGTCCTTGCTTCACTGCTGTATTTTTTACATGCTTTCCTGTCCTATTTAAGAAAAACATGTCTCTGCCTTTTGAACTAAGCTTCTCTTTGTAAAGCACAGAGAAACAGTTCTCTAACTGCCACTTAACTAGCATCGAGCTGCCAATTTTTCCTTTAGTGTACTCAAAGCTTTCCTTCCTTGGCAGCTCCTTTCATAAGACTCTACTCAGATCTGGCTTCTCCTAGTAGATCTTATACCAATGTCACAAAACAGGCCTGCCACCTGCCCCCAACCACCTAACAGTTCCGAATCCCTGAAGAAATCTCATTTATCAAGCCTCACCTGCACCTGGCCTATCATTCACATTAGAACTTGGTAGCTCTGACAACCTTACTGATAACTCTGAAATTCATTCGTTTTGGTTTTTCTTCCTTTGGTCTGTAAGTCAAGCACACTGGCTACCTTTTTCATCTTTTGGCTTTGTTTTTAAGAGTTGATTTTCAACTTCGTTCCAAGAAATTTTCTAACACTATTCTCAATGTTCTGTTGTTTTTATCTGTCTTTAGCACCGGAAAACATTGCTTTGGCAATTGACAATCTCAAACTCGACCTTTAAGGCAGATATTTCCTGGAAATCGACCTTTGTTCAACTCTTTATCCATCATTTCACTTTCAGCTATGCTAATGCCATCTCCAACTCAGTGACAGAATCTTCCCCTTCTTCACTTTAAAGCAGGTACTTAAAAACTTAAAAACGTTCATTGACATTTTAAGTTACAACATATAGAGAATATTTGTAGTGCTTCCTTCCATATAGGTTTCTGCTAAATAGAATTTTAGCATGATATGAAACAACATAGAAAAATCTTTGGGAAAAATAAAACATCCTACTTAAATAATTTTACTGTATTAATTTCTTTGGATAATGAATCACCTCCATATTCCATATCTCTTCCCAGTCAAATCAACTAAAGCAGCGACTCATGTTCGCTTGCCTCCTTCCCTGCTATCATTATCATCGGGGTCTCAGTTCTGAAATAGCAGTCTGACCGGCTTTGCTACATCCACTCTCACTATACTGTATTTCACTCATTTTATTTAACTGTCAAATCTGCATCATTTCATTGTTTAAATTTCTCCAAAGTTACTACCATGAAAGATCATGTAAGAGCTTCCCTTATCTGGCCAAGATCTCTCATGATTCTGTGCTTACATGACTGTGACTTTGTCTTTTCTTCCAAGCTTTTCTATTTTCCTAGTCTTCCATGCACTCTGTACAATGTGCAGTACGCCCTCTTTTTCTTGACATGGGCAACCTTCTCATGTTGTGAGCCGTGTATTTCTTTATAGTACTTAATGAAAGTGACTATTACTCTTTCTGTTATAATGTCTTCCTCAAAACTCTGAGAATTGGTTCAGAGCAGTCAGGGTCCACATTTTCTTTTATTGTGGAATACGTGTTTTTCATTAGCCCAATTACAGCACAACATTTTACATGAACAATAGGAATGAAACAATTTTGTGTACTATACTTCATTTCCACCAGTAAGAAAATCTTTAGTGTTCTTAGCAGGTTACATATAATTTTCAATTCATTTTTTTCAATAAAAAATAGAATTTTCTTTCAAATAAAATCTCATTAAAATTACAATACGTAAAACAAATAGAAGTGTGCCTTTTCTAGGTGTAGGTGGCCACACTTAGTTCAGTTTTCATTCTCTGGTCTAGACTTGAAGAGTCCTCTAATCTCTCTTAGCTCACATATGGGCATGCATCAGCAGCAGATACATCACTATGATTTATTAGGAAGACTACATGCCATGGCTCACTGCAGACACACAGAATCAGAACACTGCATATCACCACCTCAAAATTGTTCATACACACTAGACCTTATACTCACAGTGTGTGAATGCAAGGAACCATGATTTGTACAAACTTGTCACAAGCTATCTTGTTCTCTAAATCTTTGGTAGAGCCCTGTTGTAGATGACTGTTTAAAAGAATGTTTGCATAAATCAGCATTCAGCTACTGGGAATGTTTTGTTTCTGAGCTGCATCTCACCTTTACTGTAGTTTCTCTGTCATAGGGAGATCATTAACCATTTGTTGGCTACATTAATATGAAGGCATATATTTCAGTGTTAACTAATTTCTAAAAATTAGATTAAGATAATAGGCTAAGAGTTTCTACACTATGTGCTATAGACCTAGGATTTTTTACTGGTAGAGTTTTGGCAAATTACAGGTTATGCATTGATATGTCACTAATATGTTTAAAAAAAAAAAACAAAGTGAAATAGCATTCATTTTTTTTACAGTGTAAATATCTAAATTTTGGATTCCCCAAAACTACCTGTCTACATTAATCATTTCTAAGCAAATCAAATTATGAAAACCCAAATACTTCAAATATCTGTACCATTGAAAATGTCCCAATAATTAAACATAGAATATTCGCTGAAAATATATTACCTCAGCTTAGCATGCTGTATAAAAACTACTACTAACAGAGTGATCTGAAGTCACTTACATGGAGTAGAAGATTTGAAAGCAATGAAATCCGTCTCTACGTGGGCCTTTGTTATACTGTTATTCCATTTATAGCTCAATACACATTCTTCATCTGTATCAGCAGTGGCTATCCCTTTGTTTGTGGATACCCAAATAGTTCCAGTATGTCCTAGGAGAGACGATAGTTTTTTAAAAAAATGTAACACACACACATTCTTGCATAGTCCATGATATATATAAAAAATGCCATTATATACCTTATTTGGTACATTGAATTATGATTTTACTGAAAATGCAGATATCAATATGCACATGTTACATGTGTTTGAAACAAATACATATATGAGTGCAAGGTATCCATGTCCTTGTGCACACTCAGAGTCCAAAGGAAAAAATGATAATAGTTTTGCTTTATCACTCTTAATCTTACTCTTTTGACAGATTTCTCAGTGAACCTAGAGCTTACCTGCTAGTAAAGCATCAGTAATCTGCCTGTCTCTACCATCTATGGTCCTGGTATTATGTGAGAGCATGCTATGCCTGCTTTTTCACATATGTTCTTAGAATTTGTTCTTGAACAGTAAGCACTCTTACTCACTAAGCCGTCCCTTAGCCTCAAAAATATATTATAAGAAGTCCCAATGAACTGGAAGAATACAATACCCATGATATTGACAAATGACTGGTACATTTCTTTTTATCTCAGAATACTAATTGTTTCTTTAAGACATAAGACATAGGATAGTTTCTTTTGGACTGGAACTCCAGTAGTACTAAAATGCCCCCTCTCATGTACTGGAACATGCCAGACTCATAAAAGAATGTTCAGAACCACATGCTAGAACCCTGACTCAAACTCACTGCCTCTGCAGGCCTGCATGATGAGAATCTTGGGTTTGTTTCTCAGACTCCTACAGTTAGAGTTGTTGAAAATTGTGAAGATAGTGTCATCATGAAGAACATCTGGCTTTTTGTTTCTGTGCTTCACCCCACAGATTCCTTCCAGGATGCCATGGGACATAAACACCAGGAATGTGCTGTCGGAGGACTGGTGCTCTGGACGGGCAGCAAACTGCATTAACTCTGTCTCCATTTCCTAAAAAGACTCTAGAGTCAGTCCCAGTGCAGTCCAAATACAGTTTGTATATGAGTAATAGAGGAAGTTCACAAAAACTAAACAACTTCTAGGAATCAAGTAATTTAGGCAGAGCGGTAAAATAAATAATATTCTTACATCAGATCAGAACATGATATAAACATTAGGTTTTTTTTGTTTTGTTTTTCTAAACATAGGTTTCATTACTATGGTTTTAAAGAGAATTTTAAACTTTTATAGCGTATGAGAGATGGAATATAATCAAAATCAATTCTATTACAGTTAGGTTTTAGAAAATTCTCATTAAATGAAGTGGTACACAGAGAAGTTTAAGGAAAAAATCAAAAATATAAATTTCTTTCATTATCAAACAATATCAAGTTTTACATGCTTTAATCAAATCTGACCAGGTTATTTTAGATAGAACTGAGATCACCACTTTTGTATAACTCTCAATAATTATGCATTTTGTTCTGATAGTGTTAAGATCTTACGTGTTCATTCTCTGGGTCGTGCAAGTTTCAAGGCTCAGAACTTATGCATCTATTAGAATTCCAGTTAATAGAAACACCCAGACTAGCACTTAAGAAATAACTCCTGTTTTGTTGAGATAATGCAGCAAGGCATTCTGTGAATACTTTCAATGAGACTACACTTTGGAGAAGGTTGAAACTCAGGAAATCCTGCTCTGGAGCAAATATAATTTGTTCTTGTTGCTATCCAAAGAAAGGTTGACAAAAGCAAAGTGAAGGTTATCCTGATCTCTGAAATCATTAACTGAGCTGTAAGGTTTTCCTTTAACACAACTGAGTATCCAAGATTTTGAAGTAGTTCTTGCATGTTCAAAATATCAATATCAGCATCATCTCGATCAAAAAGGTAGTCAAACTTTTTGTTGCAGATGATGAGGGCCAGGCATGTTCGACCTTCCTTCTCCATTACTGGATATATCTGCAGTTAACAGACACAGGGGATTTGAGAAAGGGACCTCACCATGCCTCTGAAATCAATACAATGCCAGATGAAAATAGTTATTATGAACAACAGAATGTTGCTTAGAGAGCTCTGCTGATAGAATGTGAGATTGGAAACGTCTCTCAGGGCCTGAATAGGGTATAAAGTTTGGCTAGTGACATAGCTTGGATTATGTGGTGGGGTGGACTTCAGGACATACTTTGAAATAAGATTTAAAAATGGAAAAAATTTGAGATGAGCACCACTTGATTAGGTGAAGTTCATTTTCCTTTGTCAGATCTGAAGGAATCTGTGTACGAAGACTGAATAGGCTAACTTCAATCCCCTGCTTCCAAAACTCATCACCTCTTTTGCCCTTTCTGTCTTCATCTTACAAAACTGATCACGAGGACAAAGCTTCAGTGTATGTTGAACTTCTGAGCTCTGGATTCCCTGAGGAACTGAAAGAGAAAATAGAACCAAAGAACTCTCACTGGTCCATAAGTCATGCGCATGTCACAGCCCCCAGTTCATCATTCAGGAGTGTTCACTGGTTCTCCTCAGAAAACTAATGAAAAGTAAAAACCAATTCATACATAAACGATTGAAGGGAAGTTCCGATTTTTTCGCTTATTTCATTTTCTGTTTGTCATTGACAGTTTTGTGCTCTTCTAGTGTTTGCAACATTGTCTGGTCTGTCAAGTTCAACACATTAGAATCACATAAACTTAGGGATCTAAACTTTGTAAGGAAGTTAAGCTTCATTTAGTAGAATTAGAAACGAGTAATTGATATTTTGATTTTCTACACTTGTATTATCTTTCAGGACATTCCAGTGATAGGAAGGCCATATCAGTTTAATGGTTCTTTACAGTTCGAGCTATTGCAAAATGTGCACCTTCATATCTGGACCATGTAGACAACATTTAATATCTTTGCCCATAAAAATCTCACAAATTCTTCTGTGTTTACTGCTTGTAATCTTTATACTACCTGTGTCTAGTCTGATGCCTGGAAGAGAAAAATTCACTTCATTACTAATGACTGAATATCTTCAACTTCTTGAAAACATTTGCTTTTAATTCTTTGATTTTCCAAAGGGCAGAGGCCCTCCTGATCTTTATAAACCCAAGTCATTTATATACTTGTGCCTCTATCCATTTCTGTGTTTTCACTCATACAACAAGAAACTGGATATTCTTGCTAAGGACGCTACCCTATTTTATGCTTTTAATCCCACACCTTCTCATTCCCTCACAAGAATTTTGGTGGAACATTTACTTAGCATTTTTCATTTCCCTCTCCTCCTCTATCCCTCTGTCCTTCTTGCTTTGTTTGGCTCTTTCAACAAATCTGTGGTCTCTATTTGCTGATTTATGATATGCAAGCTGAGATTACAGAAACAGCGTACACACAAAGTATTCCTTACTGTTTGCAAATGCTTGAGCACAGTCCAGTGGTGAGTGTTGTTAACTCTCATAGATGACTAGGCTGGTTTATGTTAAGCCAAATTTTTATGGAATGACAACTCTTAATGAAAGCAGTCTTAGAAGAAACACACACACACATGCATGCCCATATGCGCATACACACCTAAGCACACATTTATACACACACAAACACACACCCAATGTACACACATGTACACATGTATGCACACCTTCACAACATGCATACACTTCCACGTGTGTACTCATATTCACATTCATGTACACTCATGCATGCACACAAATTAGCACATATGCATATGCACATCTACCACAGTAGGCTTCTTTTCCACTGAGAAGAAGGTGGAGGGATCACATCTCTGACTCTGAACTTAGTAGGTTTACTTATGTTTAATTTCCTACTTTCCTTTTAGATTATAACCGTCCATATGGACCTGTGACATGAAAAAGTCATTACTGTATCCAGTCTACCCTGGCCTCTAATTTTGTTCTACAGTTTTGCACAAATTTTCATTGCACCTGTAATGTATATTCTAGATTATCTCCTCATGGGGGTGGGTTGGGCTTGGCAAGACATATGCTCTTCCTTGGCTATTCTCAACCCTCAACCCATCTCTCTAGTCTATTTCTCTTTCTTGTATATGTTAAATGAATTTACACTACTTCTTATGTGTTTATTGTATATCACTACTCACTAAGTTATAAACTCAATGGTAGTGAGGGGGTCTTGATCTATCTTTCTTAATGCTCTGTAAACCAAATATTGAGAATAGAAATTCAATATTTTATTTAACATGTGGTGCAGGCCTAAAAACATAAAAAAAAGCAAAAGTTTTATTCCTTAGTTTTTCAGAATATCTGAAAATATAACATTCTTAAAACACTATCACTCCCTGTTCTAGACAAGTGTAATTTCTTAATAAACCCCAATAGTTCATCAGTTTCTTTGGTGAACACAAAGACTCATACCCTGTTAGGTATTTTTACATATTTACATGTAAAATTTAAAGCACAGTATACACATATGCTTAACTACATCTTGTTTGTGCTAGTAATTTATGGAACCTTTATCATTATGTAAACATGAAGATGTTATTAAAAGCATTTTAAAACATTTAAAAACATGGGCTATTACAGCACATGTCAGTGATAGTGATGGCCTTGCTGCATGGCCTTCTTGGCTGTGGCCCTAGTCCTACAACCCATGAAAGCATTGAAAATGTACTTTCTCTCAAATGGCATCAGCATACACCCTGGGATGGACATTACCTGTCAGCATTAGATGTGATGCATGGGTCACTCCAGCATTTACCTCCATTTCTTCATCTTCTTCTTTTCCCTTGGATTCTGAAGAGAAGTTGAGAATCAGGATTTGAAGGACTTTCTAGTGGTGGAGGTTAAAAAACCCTAGAGTTTCTGAGATTCCATGAAGTAGTCTCTGAAGTAATTCAGGGAACCTGTGACCCCATCCCTTAGTGATAAGCAAGACCCATAAAACAGAGGTTTTGGTGCAATTACCCATTAGAGATAAAGATGATGTCTGTCTTAATAAAGCTTGTCCTTCATCTTTGCTGTCTTTAATTTCATTTTCAGAGTCTAGAGTAGACAAAAAAGGGGGGATCATTTTATTTCAAAGATATTTTATTTTGCTTATGTTTTTGAAAGTTCCATATGTCGATACATTGCATTGTGACCATATCCATCCATCACTATTCAGAACAAAACAGGAAAAATATGCTTTATAAGCTAAGGACTCTGTTTACAGTTAAGATAGTTAATAAATAAGTTCATGTTTTTCTTGCTTCTTAAGCATGATGTAAATTTCAAAAACATATTTTTCAAACTACTAAACTTGCGACACTGTTCACATGATTTATAGCCTTGGGTTTGTTCTTTCCCTTGCATTGTCTTTCTCTAACAGTGTATAACATCTAATTCTCTCACCCCTGGGAGCACCTCATCTCTCCTACACAAAGGACCTCAAGAGGCTGGCAGGGGCTCATCTGTCAAATCTCTAATTAGGATGAGGTAGCTGGTTGGCCAGTCCCTGGTGCACCCTACAGGACAGCTTAACTGGACAATTGCGGATTTGGTCTTTCTACTTGCAGTTCCTGGGTTTAACATTATCTCTTTTTAACTTCTGTTTGTTTCCCCATTCCTTACCCCTCTAGAGTCGTGTCCTCCTCTTATTTTTTATATTGTGTTAATATTAGTAATCCCTGAATCCAAATTCTGTTGTCCATTTGCTGAGGGCTGAGGGGTCATCTAATGGATATGAGCAACTAATGACTACCTCTCCAGTGTCAAGTGACTCTACCTCACTCAGCAGTTATATATTGCTGTCGCTTCTGAGAATAAAAATGTAGAAGGCTACATTTCCCTGAGTCGTTCCTGGGACATAAAAAAAAGAGATCAAATGGTTTCTGTGGCAATCAGTCACATAGGGTAATTACCTGATGGAAAAGATGGTGTACACATTTTCTGAGGTTCATCATACTCATCATTAGAAGAAAATTCTGAAACAATATGAACAACATTTCTAGGCCGTATATCCATGAAACCCCTCTCAAAGCACTGATAAATAAATCTTCATGTTGCTCTTTGAAACATGGATGGTCCATCTGTTTTCCAAGCTTCAGATTTGTTTATAAGCATGTTAGCCTTTTCCAAATAAAAACTGGAGGCACACATTCTATGAAACAAGAGCTTTTCTCTTCTGTGATTTTTATATAAATAAAGATGTACACAAAGTCTGTACCCAGAGTTTCTTTGTAACAGCATATATTTCTGAGAGCAAAGCTATACTTGACTGTATTAAAGTTGTTCTTTATACAACAAAGTAACACAGACAAAAATGTCAAGAACTTAAGATATACATTTTCTGTATCATTTGCTGAGGCAGGATCGTGGACCTGCAGACCAAGGACCACTTGCCACCTGTTCCTAGTATTTAATGGAGCACACAAACACTCAGTGATTAATGCTGTCCTACCAAACAGAAAACTTGAGAGATGAAGGAGACAGCTACATACACAACATTTACAAGACTTGCTGTACTTACTTACTTAATACAATACTTAATAATCCATTAAAAGTCAAATTTGGATATTTTTGTTTGTTTATTTTGTTTTGTTTTATTTTTTCCAGTAGAAATTAAAGCAAAGATTTTCATCTCTGGTATTGAGTTATATTGAAGTGACTAGAGTGGATCCCTCTCCCTCATTCACATTCTGTATCTGTGAATGAGTCTAAAATTTCCATGATATGACCAGAAGGTTAGATCATAATAAAAATGTGGGGACAGGGTCAAGATTAGGTATGGGAGGAGACAGGGGAGAAGTTCAGAGGATCAGGAAATTAAATGGAGGTATGTAGCAGTGGGAGATAGGGAACTGGGGATAGCCACTAGAAAGTCCCAGATGCCAGAGAAGCAAGAGATTGGCAGGACACAACAGGGAACAAAAATACTTGGGTGATAGAACCTGTAGATACCACATCTAGTGCATAAGCAGAGCTCCTAGTTGAGGGATGGGGCCACACACCAGTCTCAAAAATTTTAACACAGAATTGTTACTGTCTAGAGAAAATATAGGGACTAAGAGTGGAGCAGAGACTGAAGGAAAAGCCATCCAGAGACTACCCCTCCCACGGATCCATTCCATCTGCAGACCCCAAACCCAGATACTATTGCTGGTGCCGAGATACTATTGCTGACAGGAGTCTGGTATAGCGGTTCCCCTAGAGGCCCTGCCAGAGCCTGATCAACATAGGTGTGGATGCTCGCAGTCAACCATCGGAGACTATGGGAACCGCATGGGAAAACATAAGAGAAGGACTGAAGGAGCTGAAGGAGATTGCAACCCTATAGGAAGAACAACAATATAAACTAACTGGATCTCCCAGGGCTCTCAGAGACTAAACCGCCAATCAAAGATTATACATGGAAGGACCTCATGGCTCCAGACACAGATGAGGCAGAGGATTGGCTTATCTGGCATTAATGGGAGGGGAGGCTCTTGGACCTGTGGAGGCTTGATGCCCCAGCATAGAGGGATATTAGATGGTAAGGAGTGAGTGGGTGAGGAAGCACCTTCATAGAGGCAGGGGGATAGGCGATGGGATAGGGTTCTTTCCGAGTGGAAATGAGAAGGGGGACAACATTTGAAATGTAAACAAACAAATAAAATAACCAATGAAAAATAAAATAAAAAATAAAAGCAAAAAATCCTGCTTTATTTTAATCAAGATGACTTAATTTTTGCTGAGTACTTGCCATCTGTCACATGTCATTTCTCACATGATCAATATGTATTCTCAAATAAAGCAGCCAATGAGGTTTAACTTCTTAGTACTATGTTTTAGGACAGGGAAACACAATAATGTAGTGACTATGTAAATTTCATCGGGTAGTCAATGGTTCAATTGTTAAGGGAAGAATAAAATATTCAGGAGTAGAAAGGTAGTTTGGGTGAATCTGAGCCCTTTTCATCAGTTAAACAAATAGACAATCAATAGTCTAAGGGAGGTGGGGAAGTTAGATTTTCTTAAGAACAGGAGAAGTAAAGACAGAAGCCCTGGAGGCAGTAGAAAAGGAGCTGATGCCGTTTTGGCCAGAGCTACTCACTTAAACTCAGCTGTTCATGGGAATTGGCAATGTGACCTGCAAATATTTTTCCTGCCATTTCTGTTTTCTCAAAGAAGCTCTCAACCAGGTTCTCAGTGTTGTTCAGGATGAATCTTGCTTCTTCCCCGATTTTGAGTAATTCATCACCATTTAAAACATTCTTCTCCACCAGGTCATCAAAAACCCCATCCAGCATGTCCTTGGCCAAACCTTTGATCTTGTAGATTGGATCTCTTTCAAGTATTCTCTTGGCTGTAAAAATAATAGCATTTGGACATGGAAAGATATTTAGATATCTGTTTCTACACTACCAGCTTTGAAATTCAAATACAGACAACAATCATCCACATATCTAAATTAAACAGAACTCCCTGAAAGGCTTTCTTGGAAATTATACTTCCTGCATTAGGATGGGACCTATGGGTTTTTCTTTCTTTTTAAAGGCTTTCTTTCATTTTTGAGATTATAATACAATTAATCAGGTGACAGTTGAGTGGCAATTTATCTATGAACCCACAAGAGCATTTACATGTTCAACACATTTCAAATGTGTATAGGAGGAAACTGAGGTGCTGAGAAGAAAAAGAACTCTATCAGGCAATTCAGCCATAGATATGTGACATCTGACATTTCTGCAGATCACTCATGATCCTTTCACTTTTGCTCATTTTTGTAAATAACTTAAAATGACACTTTACTCCATACACAGCATAGCGTAATGTGAACACATTACAGCCATCTTGTCCCTCATTTTGTTTACATTACCAGTACTCCTTGAGGGCTCCGTGTAGAAATGGAGAAATCAAACAACTAGCTGGTTTTCTTGCTGCTGAAAGTAGTTCAGATGCAGAGCAGAAAGATGGAGGAAATGCAAGGTTTTGTTCCATAATAAAGCTTCTCATCCTCACAACAGAACACCCATAGAGCTGGAGAAAATCTCTAGTCAGTGAGTCAAAGGCAATCCTTAAACCACAGGAAAATACTAAAAAGATGGGTCGAGAGACGATCTATTTTCTTTAATTTCCCACAGTTGTAAATGCTGAGTGTAAATGCCTTTGAGTGTCTGCATGCCCTGTGCTTTAACATGTGCCACCTTAGCCCCTCCCCCCACTTACAAACAAACAACTCTGCTCTGATGAAGCCCTTCCAGGTTGTTATCTCTTCTTTCAGACATCCATATGTAACGCCCTCATAACAACCATAAACAAAGAAAGGACTCACTCACCAGCCACAGCAGTGCAGGACTCCTAGCAATGAAACTGAAAGCAATCTGAGTCTGCCTTTCCTTCCCATAAACATACCAATGGTGCTTTCTCATTGGAAACTCCTGCTTGCCAAATTCTCTGCTCTTTTCCCCGAAAGTCAACCAGGGCTCTGCTTTGATAAGCAGAGTTTCTCCTTGAGTTCACAAAGTTTTCTGACTGAAAATGTACATTCACACACAATTCATTCTCCATCCTGTCTATCTTTAGCACATTTTGAAATGTACTCTGAGTTGTTTTTCTTAGCACTTCTACGGACCTATACACAGATATAAGACCATGAAACAGTGACACTTGGTCAACCCAGAATGTGTCAATTCACAGGGCTACATCTGAAAGAGATGCTGAGGAGATACCATACCTTCATGCTGGTACCATCATTTCAAAATCCAGGTAAGCTACATTGTTACCATTTCTCCCAGTCAGCAAGTTTATTTGTCAATTTTAGATATTATTTATCTAGAGACACCAGATTATAAACATTATGGTATGTTAAATGCACAGGATAGTCTTTCCCTCTAACTTTTGAAAATTTATGGATAAATAATGGCATAAAAGTTAAATAAGGGAAATGTTTATAAAATGGAAGCTATTTGGCTATTTTACTTTCATGGTTCAGGATGCTGCATGTTAGCATTTTTTTTTTTTTGTTCCTATTCCTCATAGAATACTTAATACAATTCTCATGCTGTTGACTTTCATCCATTTGCCTTCTTGTAGGAGGAACCGTCTTTGCCTTACTGCCCTCAGGAGTTAATTGGAGTAACTAACACCTCACCTTCAAAGAAGGAGGTAAAAGTTCCAGGCCTGCCTTCACAAAGCCTTGTGATTTTTCCCAGCTTTGAAATCGGAAACATCCATGTAGAAAACTTGTTGACTAGAACAGGAAGAGAGTGTCCTCATTTCTTCGCAGAACAGGAAACAGAATGTAGCCACTCAGTTGCAATTCTCCTTTTCTGTTTCTTAACTTCTTCAGGACCTCAGTACAAGGGGAAGTACATCCAGGCCACTTCCTTATCCTCACCCCCCTGGAGTCAGTCCTTTCTAGAAACTCCTCAGAATCTTCTCCCCTCACTGACAACATAAGACTCTTTGAGTCTAATCAAAAGGCTACTGTAGTCCCAGTGTCAGACAATTGTATTAGAAAGCAATCAATTTGCTCCTTGAAAACACCATAGTGAAAGTATATACTCTGAGAACTTGAGAACTATCAAGCATGGTAGGTTATAACTATAAAATGTTTGTCATATTAACACATTACACAATTCCGTGAGTGAGCACAGTGTGGGAAAGTTTAGACAGAAAATCAGATCCTCCAACTTGTCTCCCTCCTGTATTCTGTATAGTACTTCACTAAATTATTTATACTTTTTCAATGGTGGTAATAATTTCTTAAATTATTTTGCATGATTGTTTCATACAGAAAGAAATGAAGCTATTTTCACCCCCTATTTACCACTCTTATCCTCTTTCTCTCCTGCTGCAGCATTGCTCAACAAGTCCCCTACTGTCACAGCCTGTTTCTATTTGGGTCTTATTGTGTTTTGTTAGTTTCTTTCCTGATCATAGGTGGAAGGTTGTTTAATGTAGCATCAGAAGCTTAGCAGTTGTTACACCACTGATGAAATTGACAACACCACTTCAAACAACCCTCAGCTGACAATAGTACTCCAAGGAGGGTCTCTCCTCTCCTGATGATGAAATGTTGATGGGACTAATACTGGGGCTGCCATGTGAGGTAGCCAGAGTCACAATGAGCTCATCATCATCCTGTAAGATAGCCAAAGTGATAGGGAGTTCTTGCAAGATAGTCAGAGCCACAGTGACTTTCTGAGAGATAGACAGAGCCACAGTGAGTTCATATAAGATAAGTAGAGCTACAGTGAGTTCATATAAGATACAGCCACAGTGAATTCCTGTGAGATAGACACAGCCACAGTGAGTTCATGTAAGACAGAGCTACAGTGACTTCCTGTGAGATAGCCAGAGACACAGTGAGTTCCTGTGAGGTAGCAAGAGCTGCTTTGAATTTGTGTGGACAACAGCTTTTTTATAATGAGAAGACATCATTTTGCTGCACATCTTTCCCTCTTCCAAATACTTGAGGATGTTTGTGTATTAGCTGTCATTGACTATTTCATATAAAAGCGAACTGTAGCTAGCATCATCTCCTTCTTGTTGCTGATACCATGGCTTTTAATGACTTTTTTTTAAAACCAAGTATCATGAATTAATTAGTTTTTGAGAAAAGTTTCATAGCTCCTGACAGGTTTCAAAGTCATGGTCTTCTTGTCTTGGCCTCATGAGTGCTGAGGTTGTAGGCTGTACCATCATACTGACTTGAAAACACACTTAACTCTTCTTTTTATTTTAGAATATTAACAAGTGGCTTCACTTTCTTATGTGTAAGTTAATTTACAGCCATTCTTCTTTTTCCCTGTTATCATACTCCATTTTGATATTTATGATTTTATTGTGGCAAAATGTCAATAATACAAATTTACCATCTTGAACAACTTTTGGACTACAAAAGAGTTGACACCTGTTCATGAGACTGCCTTTCTCCTGTTGGAATTGATTTACAGATTTTGTTGTTGTTGTTGTTTCATTTTTAAAACTGAAGGACTATACCAATTAAACATTTATCATCTGCTATGGTCTGATCATGTCAATATTTATGTGCTGGAATCATTTTTGCATTATGGTGGGTTTTATAAAGACAAATTATTACAAAATAAAGTCCACAGTTACAAATTCTGTCACTAGGTTGGCACCTTTAGGAGGTGCTAATATTGGTCTCTGATTGTTTAAAACAAGGCATATTTGTTTTTATCAAGTGCACTGGATCCATTGTGTGTCCAGGTATTTCCCTTCCAGTGTTTCTTCCATGTTGTGATACAGATAAGTTGTATGCCAAGATGCTGCTGCATCACTATGTCTGCCAGAACTGTGAAGCAAAGAAATCATTTCATTCTTTAAAGACAACTATAAACTTTCCATCCTCATAATGCAAGTTAAAAGAAAAAACAACCCCAAACTAAACAGTACCCCTTTCTTCCTTTTGTACTGTCTGTCATTGCTGTTTTTCTCTGTGTCTCTGTGAGTCTGAATATTCTTTATTTTTCTTAACATTTTTTTATTGGATGTTTTATTTACATTTCATATGTTGTCCCTTACCCCATCCCCCACCCACCCAGGAACCCCCTATCCCCTCACTCCCCCTTCTTCTCTGTGGATGTAACCCCTACCTACCCCCGACTCCCACCACCCCACCCTCAAATTCCCACCCGCTGGAGCATCCAGACTTCATGAAGTCAAGGATCTCCTCTTCCACCTATGCCCAGCAGGGCCCTCCGCTCTTACATATAGAGCTAAAGCCATGGATCCCTCCCTAAGTGCTCCCAGGCTGGTGGTTTAGACCCTGGAAGCTCTGGTTGGTTGGTATTGTTGCTCTCCTCATGGGGCCACAAACCCTTTTAGCTCCAATGGTCTTCACTCTAACTCCTCCATTGGGAACCCCATGATCAGTTCAATGGCTAGTTGTGAGCATCTGCCTCTGAATATGTCAGACTCTTGCAGACCTCTGAGGAGACATCTATATCAGGCTCTTATCAGCATGCACTTCCTGACTTCCACATCAGCATCTACCTTTGGTGACTGCACATGGGATGGATACTCAGGTGGAATGGTCTTCAGACGGCCACTCCTTCAGTTTCTGTCCCTCACTTTGTCTCCATATTTGAACCCTTGAGTATTTTATTGCTCCTTCTAAGAAGGACCGAATCACCCCCAGTTGGTCTTCCTTTTTCATGAGTTTCATGTGGTCTGTGAGTTGCATCTTGGGCATTTCAAGATTCTGGGCTAATATCCAATAATAAGTGAGTTAATAACATGTGTGTTCCTTTGTGATTGGCTTAACTCACTCAGGATGATAATTTCTAGTTCCATCCATTTACCTAGGAAGCTCTCAAATTCATTGTTTTTAATAGCTGAGTAATACACCATTGTGTAAATATACCACATTTTTTGAATCCATTCCTCAGTTGAAGGACATCTGGGTTCTTTCCAGCTCCTGGCTATTATAAATAAGGCTGCTATGAACATAGTTGAGCATATGTCCTTGTTATGTGTTCGAGCATCTTCTGGGTATATGCCTAGGAGTGGTATAGCTGGATCCTCAGGTAATGCTATGTCCAATTTTCTCAGGAACCTCCACACTGATTTCCAAAGTGGTTGCACCATCTTGCAGTCCCACCAACAATGGAGGAGTGTTCCTCTTTCTCCACACCCTCACCACCATCTACTATCACCTGAGTTTTTAATCTTAGCCATTCTTACTGGTGTGAGATGGAATCCCAGGGTTGTTTTGATTTGCATTTCCCTGACGACTAAGGATACTGAACATTTCTTTAGGTGCTTCTCGGCCATTGGAGTTTCCTCAGTTGAAAATTCTTTGTTAAGCTCTATACCTCATTTTTTAATAGGGTTTTTTGGTTGTCTGGAGTCTAATTTCTTGAGTTCTTTGTATATATTGGATATTACCCCTCTATCAGATGTAGGATTGGTAAAGATCTTTTCCCAATTTGTTGTTTGTCGTTTTGTCCTATTGACAGCCTATTGACAGTGTCCTTTGCCTTACAGAAACTTTGCAATTTTATAAAGTCCCATTTGTCAATTCTTGATCTTAGAGCATATACCATTGGTGTTCTGTTCAGGAACTTTTCCCCTGTGCCCAAGTATTCGAAGCTCTTCCCTACCTTCTCTTCTATTAGTTTCAGTGTATCTGGTTTTATGTAGAGGTCCTTTATCCACCTAGACTTGAGCTTTGTACAAGGAGATAAGAATAGATCAATTTTCATTCTTCTACATGTTGTCCTCAAGTTGAACCAGCACCATTTGTTGAAAATGCTGTCCTTTTTTCACTGG